ACAAATATTCAGGATGTTTTCTTTCTGCCTAAGGAGAGACGCCTCAGTGCTGACAGTTTGAGCTCACCGGATTCTTGCCTGAGCATCCCTGTTGTCATGTCACTGTCATTGTGATAACATACTAATAAGATTTTGCTCCTGCTTCCCTATTTGGTTCAGTCTCTCACCACTCAGCCTAGGACCGTCAAGCAACAGGACAGGGGCGGGGCTTGACTTCCTTGCCTGGTCTATTACTTGGGTGAAAGCTCTCCCTACTGGGTGCTGGCAGAAGACAGGAGGTGATTAAAGTTGGAAGACATTATTTTTGTTTGTTTCAAATGTTTTATTATTTTTAATTGGGTAGGGAGGCACATTCTTTTTTAAATTTGTTTTTATTGATTTCAGAGAGAGGAAGGGAGAGGGAGAGAGAGAGAGAGAGAGAAACATCAATGATGAGAATCATTGATCGGCTGCCTCCTGCACGCCCCCTACTGGGGATGGAGCCCATAACCGAGGCATGTGCCCTGACTGGGAATCGGACTGTGACCTCCTGATTCATGGGTCCATGTTCAACCACTGAGCCACGCCGGCCAGGCCAGCCTGAGTTTTTCACATGCCTCAAGTGTTTCTAATGAGCAGCCAAGGTGGAAAACTATTGAAATACAGAGTGGGAAGCTGGTGCTAATACAGTTATAGTTCTGCTGTTAAAAGTGAATACTTGTGCCCTAGCTGGCTTAGCTCAGTAGATAGAGCGTCAGCCTGCAGACTGAAGGGATCCAGGTTCGATTCCGGTCAAGGGCATATGCTTGGATTGTGGGCTCAGCTGACCAATGATTCTCTTATCATTGATGTTTCTATCTCTCCCTCTCCCTATCTCTCTGAAATCAATAAAAAAATATAAAAATAATAAAAGTGAATACTTGTCTGGTGTTGCTCAGTTGGTTGCACATGGGAACCATCCCCAGTAGGGGCGTATAGGAGGCAGCCAATCAGTCCTGATGTTTCTCTCCCTCTCCCTTTCTCTCTCTAAAATAAATAAATAAATAAATAAATAAGTGATTACTTAACAGACCCTTTAAAGCTTTTTAAGTTAAATGCCATACAACTTCAGGTGCTGAACATAAGTGTAGTATTACAGTGTATTAAATGTTATAGGGATAGTGTGGAGTGGATGCAGGGAAGAGCACTGTCACTCTAGCATAATGGCAGAGCAGGGCCTTTTGTCCCCAGGGGATGCTACAGCTATTAGGTGAAAGGTTGTGGGATATTCATAGGGCATCAACATATAGCCCCACATATCCATTACAGAGGGAAAACGAACTTTCCAGCTAGAAGTCTGTCATTCACTACTTAACCAAGTGATTAAACTTATCATCACTAAGAGCCCATTTACAAGCTTTTCAGTCTCTAAAATTCAGGATGAGATCATAGTTCTTACTTTCCCAGTTCTTCCCTGAAGACAGATTCAGTGCAAATCATGGTCCCTAACACATAAAAAACATTCAGTGACTTTAAGCTTTTCTGGTGGCTATTTGATTTTTCTGTCATAATAGCTAAGAAGAATAAGATTTCAATCAGTGTCTGCCAATAGATGTTGACTTAAACTAAGACAGGACTGAATTTAAAAGATAGGAAGGAATGATTGATTTGAAGCTTTCAAATCCCTAAATAAAGTAATATACTTTAGAAAAAATATTTATTTTTTATTGCTTTTAGGAAAAAAAATTAAAAGTTTGAAACGAGTAATTAACTCAATAAAAATAATTTTATAATAAAGCATAGAAAAGCAATCTATTTGATCATGTGATTCCTAATGTAAATCCCAGCACCACTATCAATTGACCATTTTAAATGTAATTTAGACTTGCATATGATATAAACATAGTTTTAAAATGTTTTATTAAATTGTTTCACTACTGCTTGGCTGGCGTGGCTCAGTGGTTGAGCATCAACCTATGTACCAGGAAGTCACAGTTTGATTCCTGATCAGGGTGCATGCCCGGGTTGTGCGCTCGATCCCCAGTAGGGGGTGTGCAGGAGGCAGCCGATCAATGATTCTCATCATTGATGTTTTTGTCTCTCCCTCTCCTTCCCTCTCTGAAGTCAATAAATTGTTTCACTACTAACACAAAGGTTCATTTGGATGATTTCATGAACTTGTAGCACTGTTAACCTGGTATGTGGACCAAACATCTCTAAGGCACCATTTCTCCAAGTCTCTCTGGAGAACATTCATCCTGAGAGATGCTGTCCGCAGAGTGGGTTCACTGGCTATACTTTGAAAAGTACTACATACAATAGTCCTTGCAAAGAGTCATAATTCACATTAGCATATGAAAAGCTCTGAAATCTTACAGGAAAGAAACCTGTTTACGTGTGTGCAACATAAGAGCTCCAATTTCAGGAGCAACAGGCTGCTCTTTAATAGCCTGGAAAAACCATGTGGGGGATCAGAGGAGAAGGACGTAGCCTTTATTTTTTTTAAATATATTTTTATTGATTTCAGAGAGGAATGGAGAAGGAGAGATAAAAACATCGATGATGAGAATCATCAATTGGCTGCCTCCTGCACGCCCCCTACTGGGGATCGAGCCTGCATCCTGGGCATGTGCCCTGACTGGGAATCAAACCTTGATCTCCTGGTTCATAGGTCAACACTCAACCACTGAGCCATGCCGGCAGGCCAGGACATAGCCTTTATTACTTGCACATGGGGAAGACCCAATGGCTGCCTGTTGGGTAAGTTTCCCAACCCTGCCAGGGTCAGGCGGGGGCTTATTTAGCAGAGGGGAGGGGGTGGCCATGCTTGGAATAGCTTGAGTGCAGGCCAAGGACAAACAGGGTCTGCCGAGACTTGTTGGCTGTCAAGGACGTGGGAAGACACCTGGGTCTGTGCTGCTCTGTTTCTTGTGGCCACCAGCCAGGCAAACAATGTTGAACTGACTGGGGGCAGGGCGGGGGGAATTGGGCTATAGCCTTGCGTGACCCCACACTGGGTCTAACCTAGCATGCCCCAGACATATCTGAACACAGAAGACTTTTCCCCCTATTATAGCAATTCCTAGAAACACTTTGGGGAATGGTGCTTTAAAGAACAGTTGGTCTCAGGTAATAATGGTATTTGCACATCAGGGATAGACTATCTCAATCCATCCACAGCAATGCAGGCGTTGTCTAGCATGCCGGAAGAGGCGAGGAAGGATCCTTGTATGGACTGAATGTCTGTGCACCCTAAAGTTCACATTTGAAATTCTAACCCCCAATGTAATGGTATTTGGCTGTGGGGCCTTTGGAAGGTGATTAGTTCATGGGGTGGAGTCCTCATGAAGGGTTAATACCCTTATGAAAGAGGCCCCACAGAGCCCCCTCTCCCCTCCCACCACATGAAGACAGTGAGAAGGCAGACATCTACGAATAAGGAAGCAGGCTCTCGCCGGATACTGAATCTGTGGTTCCTTGGCCTTGGCCTTCCAGCTGCCAGAACTGTGAAAAAGAAATGTCTTGTCTGTGGTATTTTGTCATAGCAGCTTGGACTAAGATAGGTGCCTATCAGAATTTGTTTCTGCTCTTGCTTAGAAAGTAATCTTTTTCTTTTTTGGTTGGGGGGAAGGGAGGAAAGCAAATGGCCTGTTTGATACTGGCCACCCCCCATCCACTGTAAGAAGTCACTAATAGTCCTAGCCAGTTTGGCCCAGTGGATAGAGTGTCAGCCTGTGGACTGAAGGGTCCCAGGTTTGATTCCGATCAAGGGCATGTACCTTGGTTGTAGGCTCGGTCCCCGGCCCCAGTTGGGACGTGAGTGGGAAGCAACCAATGGATGAGTCTCTCTCACATCCATGTTTCTCTCTTTCTCTGTCTCTCCCACTCTAAAAATCAATGGTAAACATATCCTCAGGTGAGGATTAAACACACACAAACACAAAGAAGTCACTGACAACTGTCAACAGGTTTCCTTTGGCAGCCTTGTATTAATACCAGGACCTGCTGTAATCAGTTTTGATTATAAGAATATAGAGTAGATAAACCACCTAAGAATTCTAATTCAGTTACTGCCTGCCCGACTTCCAGTAAAGTTCTCTTATGATAAATTAGGGGTCATTAAAAAGAAGAATCATTTCTATGCCTTTTCTACCACTCACTCACTATGACATGCCTTCTGGCCAGGCACTGTGATGGGGATGCAAAAGCAGAAAGAAATGCTCTTTCTTGCATTTGGGAAGACACTTTGCTTTAAATTATTGGAAATACTAGAGGCCTGGTGCATGGATTCGCACACCAGTGGGGTCCCTTGGCCTGCGCCCTCTCACAATCTGGGACCCCTCAGGGGATGTTGGACTGCCGGTTTCTGCCAGGCCGAGGGACCCCACTGGTGCAAGAATCTGTGCACCAGGCCAGTTTCGGCCTGATCCCCGAAGGCCAGGCTGAGGGACCCCACCGGTGCATGAATCCGTGCACTGGGCCTCTAGTATGCACATAAGATCTTTGGTTAATCTCTCCCCCCCACTTCCCTCTGAGATTCACCAGTCTGTTCCATGTTTCCATGCCTGTGTGTTGAGTGTCTGCCCCCTGGTGGTCAGTGCGCATCATAGTTACTGGTTGGTCACTTAGGCTTTTATATATATAGAAAATGGGAATGGGGTTGGGTTAGAGAAACCTTTGAATTTAGCATGTAACCTATCAAAGATGTCACAGGAGAGATGTTTTCACCGAACACTTGGCTACTAGTGATTGAACTCAATCTTCTCCAACCCCTCTCCCCTTCCCCAGAAACTGGGTGTGGGCATGGGGTGGGGACTAAAAGTTCCAACCCTCTAATCATGTGGTTCCCATGGCAATCGGCCCCCAGCCATGGGTTACCTAGCTTTCCTCATTAAAAGTCACCTCATTAATGTAATAAGACATCTTTCGTATCCCTTAGGAAATTCCAAAGGTTTTAGGAGGTTTGTGTCTGGAATGGAGACAAAAACCAAATATATATTTCCTGTAAGTGATGATATCACAGTACCAAACCAAAATTTTTTCACGTAACAGGTTTATTTTAGCAGCTCAGTTTTATTACATTCTACATATTTGTTTAATATATTTCTATCTGTTCTGCATAGATGGCATATTTATTAACTTTTATAGTTGACTTTTTCATTTGCTATTTGCTGCTACCTGGCCTGAAGAGTCAGGAGGATAAATAGAACTCGCTTGGTGGAAAGGTGGTGCAGCATTGAACTTCTCCGCAGAACTTTACTTTGATGTGGACTTCAGTGTCAGCTTTTCCTCCTCTTCTTTTTCAAATCCTGAGCAGACGAGAGATCTTCCCTTGGGATAGCGAGCACAACACTTCCGAAGTTCTTGGATGACAGCCTGACACTTAGATTCCATGTAGTTGTTGGCTGAAAAACAGACAGGCAGAATCTAGTCACGATCTCATAGGACTAAGGCACAGGGAGTTGGGGGGGTTAGATCAATGCTTCCCACTCCTTTTTACTTTACTGTATGTACAGACCTGGAAGAAAGAGGATATATTAAAGTCCACGGAATTCTTCCTGATTTAGAGACCAGGAAGAAAAGTATGATTTACAGAGTGGTCAAAAGGTATTTTTCTATATAATTTTCTTTTCTTTTAAAAAATATATGTATTTTTATTGATTTCAGAGAGGGAGAAGGAGAGATAGAAACATCAATGATGAGAGAGTATCATTGATCGGCTACCTCCTGCACACTCCCCACTGGGGATCAAGCCTGCAACCCGGACATGGTGCCCTGCCCAGGAATCAAACCTTGACCTTCTGGTTCATAGGTCGACCTCAAAGCTCAACCAACTGGGCTCATTTTCCTTAAGGTTGAGTTAATAGTTCATGTTTCTTGGTCACTAACTCCTTTACAATTTGGTGAATTAGAAAAATGCGCATATGAAAAATGCATTTTGCATACAGTTTAAGGTGGCTACTAGAAGCTTCCCTACCAAGTCTATGCATCAGAGGTTTGAAACTGCAGCCTCAGAGTCAACCCTTTTTTACAGTTGTGAGCTAATAATGGTTTTTACATTTTTAAAGGGTTGTAATTTGCCTCTCCTCCTTCCCTCTCTCTCTCCAACAAAGACCTCCTGGCCTCCAAAGCCTAAACTATTTCCTGTTTGGACCTTTATAAAAAACATTTGCAGACCCGGCTATACATAGATCCTAAGTTAAGGAGGACTTGACCTAACGGTTCTAAATCAGCTTCAATTGACTTGAGTCCCTCGATACTAAATTGGGGTGCATGGGAGTTAGCCTGTGATAGGAAAGACAATTCTGACCACCCAGAGTATAGTGGAGTTGCTGAGTCCAGGCTTGTAGCCAGATCAATGGGATTCAAATTCTCGCTGTACCCCTTACTAGTTGTGTGACCCTGGGCAAGTTATGTAACTTCTGTGTTGATTTCCACATCTGTAAAATGGAGGTCATGGTAACATCTACCTCATGGATGAAATGATCAAATGACTTAATATGGTTAAAGCCCTTTTGGCTGTAACTGTCATCCAGGGAATGATTAATTCGAACTCTTAGTCCTTCCAGCCCTCAATCCTCCCACACTGTGGCAAGGGGTATAACTAGTTCTAACTTGATTCTTGTTCTCCTTAAGTCAGTAGTTCTCAACCTTCCTAATGCCTCGACCCTTTAATACAGTTCCTCATGTTGTGGTGACCCCCAACCATAAAATTATTTCCGTTGCTACTTCATAACTGTAATTTTGCTACTGTTATGAATCGTAATGCAAATATCTGATATGCAGGATGTATTTTCATTGTTACAAATTGAACATAATTAAAGCAGAGTGATTAATCACAAAAACAATATGTAATTATATATTCAATATGTGTTTTCCGATGGTCTTAGGCGACCCCTGTGAAAGGGTCGTTCGACTCCCAAAGGGGTCGCGACCCACAGGTTGAGAACCGCTGCCCTAAGTCATGGGTTGCTAGTTCAAATCAGTTAATTTATTTGGAAGAAATTAATTGTGAAAAAGATTTTTCATTTTTCTTAAATTTGGAGAAAGGGATGAATAAAATGGCATTGTTATACATAAACACTTTAGATTAAAAGATTTTACAGATAATATTGCTTACATCATAAAATGGAAAGTTCAAGAATGAATAGACATTAAAAAAAGAAAATATACAAACAAGGATTTTCTTTGAGGTTAAGTCTTTGGGGGAACTCAACATTTTCCCTTCCTACCTTTCTCTATTTTCATGGGTATCCATCTCTATTATTGTACTTTAACAATGGGAAAATGATCAAAAAGTCAGTTTTCAAATTCACATCGTCTTGCTGCTTTTTTTCATTTGTTCTGCCAATAATCATTTACTGAGTAAAAAAAAAAAAAGAAATCCTCTGGCATTTGTTCAAACATATTGGCTGATTTAAAACCAAATGGACAAATCACATCACATAGACTTTAGTTGAAATCACTTTTGCCTTTAAAAGTTAGTTGCTAAGTTTGGCAGCCTGAATTCCAATTGTATTTTCAACACCCACCACCCCATTCTAACCTGACTGCTTTTAAAAAGTGAGTTATTAGGCAGTTAAGTATAATCAACCTATTTTAAAACTAGTCTTTTTTTTAAGGATTTTGCTCAGCTTAGTAATTCTCAACTCTGCCTGCACATTAAAATCACCTGGTCAGCTTCTTAGGTTCCCTCTGCCCAGACTCCACTCACTGGAAGTCTGATTTCATTGTTCTAGGCAAGTTTTTAAAGCTTCCCATGTGATTTTACTATACACCCAAGATTGTAAACCACAAGCTTAGATCACATCACTTTTTATTTTCTATATCTTCAATTGTACAGTGAGAAAGATCTTCAGGCTAAATTAATTACAGAAATATTCTATTCTGAGAGGAGTTAATACAGTTTGCTGATAAAAAGAACAATTGGTCTCTTGTAGTTGGTTCATAGATAAAGTGGAAACTATGTAAAAAGCATGGAACATAGTACCTTGTAAACATTTCTGTATTTCACAGGCTTGTTTCTGGCACGGATCCTTCTGCAGCATATCCAGTAAACTAAAATAAGAAAAATGATTTTTATTTTGTCTTTTATTTATAAGGACTTTAAAGCCCCTCTAGAAGGAATTTTCTTCAGAGACAAGCAGTATGCCCTTCCAATTGTTGGAAGACTGTTACACTGAAAAATACTCTTCCCATTCATAGGATGAATCAACTGTATTTTTTATAATATCCATTTCATTTGATTCGAAAGATATAAGTAGCTTTACATGGGAAAAAGACCCTTGAATTCAATAAATTCATCCTGAATATTGTAAACCAATGTTGGGCTAGAGGAGCCGACGCCGCAGCCTGAAGGACCTGCCCACTGCCCACTCTGTCATTAACAAAACTACCCTTGGCAATGATCAAGCTCCTTGAGCCTTTCCCCTTATTATTAATGTGTAAACTGGGGATCATACCTACCTCAAAGCATTGGTGGAAGAATTAAAAGTATACGAAGTGCATAGAATAGTGCCTGGAAGGCAGTAAGGACTCGCTACGTGGTAGCTATTGTTCCTGAGGTTTTTAAAAAGCAAAACTAAGGGGTGTTTTTTTTTTTGCATATAAACTGTTATAACTATTTTAACTCAGGAAATTATCAGGCAGTAAATGGTTTCTTAGGGATCAGCAATATTTGGCCCTGAGATAAATGCTAGTTTAGCAGCTAAAAATTTTTTTTGAACTCTTACAGAAAAGACTTATTTAAAATATCTGTAACCAGAGAATAATCTTAAGTGCCCACTATTTTGATTATTAGCAACATCTAAGAATTTGAAGACACAATTTCAGAAAGAAAAAGGGCCAGGAGCCTTTGTAGCTAATTTCATTAATGCAAATAACCTCTTTTTTCCCCCTAGAGCTCCCTAAATTCTTAGTAGATCCAAGTTAGGTCAGTACTGGGATGGGAAACACTGGAGCAAAACCCAAGATATTTACAGGATGGGAGAAGGAAAGGCAGGTGAATTGCTGCAGGGCAAAGAAACGACCAATAGATGTTGATGCTGCTAGGAGCTGCTCTCTTCTCTCTAAATCAGTACCAAGTCCTTGGTGATCAGAGCATCTGTTGTGTAGCAGGTGCTGACTTTTGTGGGATTCATCAGATCCCAGTTCCGGCTGATGATGTCCATTAAAGGTTCTATGGCAATTTCCAAAGGAGTCAATTTCAAGTTACGAATCCTGACTAAGTGCTTTTGTTGACTCGCTTTCTGCCTGTGTAACCCCCTCTCTGCAGTTCCACTTGCGGTGTTCTTCATGACCCTTCCTAAACTTCTGTGTTCTTGAGCAGTTTTTCAACCCACTCCCTCCCCCAGGCCCACAGGTGGGTGCACTGCAGTGGTGGATGAAGTGATTGCCATATACTGAACAGAACAGAGGAGCATTTCTTCCTAGAATCCCAGCACCTGGAAAAAAATAGATCATTAAAATCACCACAACCGAACAGAATGAAAAAGAAGAGAGAGAGACAGTGGAGAAACAAAAATACATACCAGGTTAATCATCAGGCAAAAGCTTAAGCAACAGCTCCTGTACTCCCCTGACCTGTCAGAAAAAGAAAAGTTTATAGAGTACTCTGTTATAAGAGTCCCAATAGGATGGAAAATGATTAAGCAACATGTGTACCATTAAATGATGCTGGATCTGCCACAAGCGAGAGTTGTTATCCATGTAGCGCTGCTCAGGGTAGAGTTGCCACATGAGAGGTAGCTGGGAGGTAAGAAGGTGACTTGGCCTAACTGCGTCACCTAAGGGAACCTGAACTTGCTGGATTCGTGCCCTTAGGAAATTCGTCCCCTGATGGAAAGAAATGATCAAAAATAAAACCAAAGACTTTCAGGATACTGTGACTAGTTAGAAACCAAGTTGATTGAAAGCAAAATCAAAAAAGAAATAAGCAAAACATAAAGTTACCTGTTCCACGACGGCCACCCACGTGCGCTGGTATTCGTCTCGGTAGATACCCTCTTGGTGAACCCAGAGGCGATCGGGTGGAGCCCCCACATCCTCTCCTGCCATTCTGGGCTTTGAGTTCCAATTCTAGCCCTGCTTTTCTCCACCTAAGCCTGCAGCACCCGTGCACAGGACACAGGTGTGACTTTTTGGGTTTGAATGAACTCACCAGTGAGCCAGGTGACCTGGTACTAGCAACCACCAACCAGAACCAAACTTCATATATGTCTACGTGCACAGTCTAAATAGAACCAAGGCCATCTGAAGCTCCCTGCAAGACACTGAAGTGAAACTCAGGCAGAGCCCTGGGTTGACTACAAAGCACTCAAGAATTTAGTTAGGTAAGGAGTTCTGTGGAAATGTAGGACTAGCATTACAGGAAGCTGGGCAGTGGTCTCAAGTTTGCATTCACAAAGCAGTATCTGACGAAGTGTAGTTAGCAACAGAATATGCGTAGGAGTGTGCCTAAGGACACACTTATTTGGGCAGGAATGCGTTATGAAAGACAGATGAACGCCCCATTCCCCATGTAAAAGCAGTTTTCCTTTTAAAAGGTAAGACTGAGAAGGTGAATCATGTGCATGGCTTTCTAAATTGAAATTAAAAGTTTGTTTTCAGAGCAAACGACCTATTTATCAGTTTACTGAGAAAGGTATCGCAGCTGGGCATTTCCAGAAGGGGGTATGCGTATTAGGGAGAATATTTAAGGTAGCTTCCTGGAATTTCTGAGCTGCAAGAGGCTTTGGGACCATGGCGATTTGGAGCTGAGTGAGAGAAAATGATTATTATCCACCTAGGTCCTTGTTTCATTTTAGTAATGCTTTTCAGGATGTCACAGGAGTGCATTTTTCCATACAAGTGTGGGTTTAAATTATGATTTCCCGAGTCGGAAACCCAGAAAAGTCCCTCTGCCCTTCGAGAGGTATAAAGGAATCCCACCTCCTGGACCAAATCTTCACATGGGGCAAACTGGGCTCGAAACCCATACATCCTCTGCCCAGCCCTGGATCTCACTTCAGGGCCTCACAATAACTTCGCCTGCACTTTGCATTTGTACCGCACAGTTTTCACTGTGTTTCTACTTTTGGCAGAGCACAGGTACAACACTGGGGGATCTCCCCACAAAACACAGGCCTCCTATTCCAATTGGGTTGCCATTAGGTGGGAAAGGAACTCCAGCACAGCTTGGGAAGTTGTTAAACCCTCCAGTGAGAATGTCCAGAGCAAATGAGATGCCAGAACACAGAATGAAGCAGCCCAGGACAAAGTGAGCCAGAAAGGATTGAGCTAAACCAAGCCCTTTGTTCAGAACAATAATCTGAGTCGGATTTTTTTCTAAACACTGTTAGTTTACCTTCCCTTAAAAGGAAAGTAGAAAATATCTTTTATAGATTTAAGAAAGGGTCTGATTTTAGTGAATAATTTAAGAACATCATAGTTGCTTTTCCCAGTGTACTCTGACTCTGAGTCCATTGTCAGCTCCTGTCTTATAGGGCTCTTTCATTTCAAATTTCCTGTCTTACATGGTTCCCTCATTTCAAATTCACCTAAAGTGAAACCCCTTCTCCTTAACCAAATCCTGATTTCTCTCAATGGCAACCCCACCCCTCCTGTTCCTGCAGAAATTTACTAGTTGTCTTGAACCCCTTCATCTGCTTCAGTTGCTACATGCTATCTGTCACCAATCCTAGGAAGAACCACTACCACTGTGTTTGAGAGAAACTTTCTCCCAAACACCGGCTAATTTGAGCTCTGTATCCTTGATTTTGCTCTCCACTTGCCTAAAATGCCTCCTCGGGCCTCTCTACCTCAGTACTATTATGGCCGAGTGCAAGTGTCTGCCTTTTCCATGAAAACTTCTTGCCTCCCTATGATTACTATAGCTTTTATGTCTAAACTCCTATTTTAGCCTCTAATTATGTATTTCTTTGCATATTTGCTCTGTTTATTTCACAAGTCCTGGCTCTCCCCAAATGCAGTACTTCAAGCTCTTCAGTAGCACGAATGATACAGTACTGGGCACCCCAAGTCTCAAATACTAGTCAAATAGATAATCATTGTTCTGCCTCTCCTCTTCCCTGGGGCTTTGGAAAGGAGTGATATAAACAAAAACCCAGTAAATGCTAATGTCAAAAGAAAATACATTAAAGTCTGGATTTCAAGTACAAAAGAAGTAAGTGTGGCTACTTTTTTTTAAAAAAAAGTAGAAACTGAGTGTTAATGGGTTTCAGTACCATCTCAACTTCACAGATAGGTCGTAGCAACAACCAACATTATTGACATTTAAATTTGTTTTGGAAAGCGAAATTTTACTGGTTACACTGACGTGAAAAGGAAATAATTCCAGTGGGCAAACAAATTGGAGATGATGATCTGAGTTACTATGAATCACTACAAAGAGGCCTATGAGTCATTACAAAATATGCTCGAAACGCAGCATGATGTGCTGTTGAGACCCAAAGGCCAATGTGCTGGGCTTTAGCATACGACTCTGGACTTGCTTATGCTACTTACTACTCAGAGAGCATGAAGGCCCAGTAAAAGGCGACTGCAGTGATCAAGGGACTGAGAAGCCATCATGTGAACATTAACCAACATCCTCAGCAGAGAACCGCAAAAGCAAAGGCTGAGTGAGAGGGATTAAGATCAAAGCCCACAAAATCACAGGTTGTATGAACGGGACACCATTTCTCTAAATGTGATTCTTGGAACACGTGCCCCTAACTTTTTCCTTGGTCAAATAAATTTGGGAATCTGATAGCGTCATAAAGCATGTTAACACATGTAAAAGCTCTGGCGAGTTATGTAGTAAAGAAACTTTATTTCGTTTAACATTTCCCAAATTTATTTGACTAGAGAGCATTTCTCTGCACATAAGACTTGCTCACAAAATTCAGGACCCCTTGAACTAGGATAAATCTCTTAAAACCTCAAGATAAGCTTAGGTAAAAGGTGCACTACAATACACAGAAAACTTGTTCCACTCAACTCAAGGAATACTGCCAGCTGCAAATTCAAATACATTTAAAAAGTGTTTATATAGCTTTATCATCCATGAAGGCACTAAAAGAGATTGTCCCCGTGGGGGTCACCTTAATGCCACAATCAGAGACCACACTGGCCTAGATAGACTATTTATTAGTAAGGGGTTCTGTAAATTAATTATGTTTTAAATGGATGATATAAAATATAGAAGGCTTCCTTAGGTAGTAATCTAAGTAAAACCATTATTTTTCCTTTACAGAACAGATTATTTTGTGTCTTTAAAAAAAAGGATAGTTTGCTTTAATTTCCAGGTGTTTTAACAGTTTTTAAACATTAATCAGTTAAATACACTTATTTCATTTGAAATCAATTAATGAACTCGTCCAATTATAATGGATGAGGATACCAAGAACATATATACCTGGAATCAGACTGGCCTGTGTATAAATCCTGGTTTTGCCACTTACTAGCTGTGTGACCTCAGTTAAATTTTCTACACTTGTTTTCTGATTTGTAAAATGAGAATTAAAGAACGTATTGATTAGAATAGTCAGCAATTATTTAGCACTTCCTATGTGTTTCATATACATTGACACTTTTAATTTTCATAATCACCTGATTAGATTAATACTATTTTTCCCCCCACTTAAAGATGAGGGAAGTAGCCCTGGTCCGGTGGGCAGCAGGTTCGATTCCTGGTCAGGGCACATACCCAGGTTGTGGGTTCGGTCCCAGGTTGGGGCGCACACAGGAGGCAACCAAATGATGTTTCTCTCTCAAATCAATAAAAACATATCCTCAGGTGAGGGTTATTAAAAAAAAAAGATAAGAGAAGGCACAGAGAAGTTAGGTAATTTGCTTGAGGCCACACTGCTAGGAAGTTGCAGAGCCGGATTCCAATTGGGATAGCTGACACAAAGTCTGTAAGTGCTTAGTAGATCGTCTAGCACAGTGATTCTCAACCTGTGGGTCGCGACCCCTTTGGCGGTCGAACGACCCTTTCACAGGGGTCGCCTAAGACCATCCTGCATATCAGATATTTACATGACGATTCATAACAGTAGCAACATGACAGTTATGAAGTAGCAACAAAAATAATTTTATGGTTGGGTCACAACATGAGGAACTGTATTTAAAGGGCCAGAAGGTTGAGAACCACTGGTCTAGCACATATTAAGCTTGCCATACATGTTATTAAACGTTTAGGGCTATAAAATGAAGCCATGAGCATTATAAAAGTTAGAGAATGCCATTCTAGATTATGAGATTAACATCAACAAACAAAGGGTTTTTTTTTTCTTTTTGAAGGTGCCTAAAGACAATTTATAAACTCAAAATATCCCATCACTGAACATAATCACAGCCACTCTTGCCCCATCAGGGCAGAGCATACTAGCCACGAACAGTAATTGAAAATATGTGGTGCAAAATCGAAACTTAAGCGAAAATTCACGTGGGTCCAATGTAATTGCACACTTGAAATTTCTCCCGAGCTTCATCATTATCAAAATGAATCACGGAAAGTTGTGCCATGTGATCCTGAAGCATTAGGTAAAAATGGAGGTTGCTGGCATACATACCACAGATAGTTCTACTGGATGAGGGCCCTATCTGTGGAAAGACGTGGGTTGGAACTGACTAGGGAGAAAAGAGCAAAGCATCAACACCTCTTCAGGTAGCACCTTGGGAATGTTCCCTTTCCAGTACTGCCATGTCTACCTGGCTTCCCAACTCCACAGCGAATAGATAGAAAGCGAGATCAAACAAACAGAAACACCGATGGGCTGTGGAGGTGGCTCGGCATAGATTTTTCTTTGATTTTTGAATCGTTCCCCAAATCCCCTGTAATTCCTAACCTTGGGAGTTGAAAGATCGCTACTTTCAACCCATGGCACATTTGGCATACGGCGAAAGAAAATTACTTTTACCTATAATTTCACCATGTCTGAGAGCGGCCAGACAAGGGAACCGAGGAAACTCGTAGAGTGGATAACTACTGTGATACACCCGACCTTGAATAAAACCTGAAGTCCCCCATTCCCCTTCCCTAGAACAAATAGTTAACATTCTTTGCAGAGAGTAGCAGCAGCCAAGTTTGAGAGTGATACTTTTTCAGATACAGTATAGCACTGTTTCTGCAAGAGGTTACTCACATGAATATAATGTTTCTTGGGCTAATTAATCCGCCTCGAGATCAGCGAGGCTAAAACTTCCAGGTCCCCCACCTCGGGTCAGTCAAGCGGCGATCAGGACGTGAGCCAGGGGCGAGCAGAGGGGCATCTGGGGCCGAGGTCACCCGAACCGAAGTTTCCAGGCAAGGGCCGGCAAGCGGAAGTGGTCCAGGGAGAGTGGGACAAAATTCAGGGGCCGCAACTTGGAAACAAAACGAAATAAAACCTTAACTATCTTAGGACGGAATTTCCCAAAGAGCGTCCCACTGGCTCAAGAGGCTGGCCCGCGCGGCGGAGCTGCCTCAGGGTTGTCCCTGGAGCGTGTAGGCCGCGTCAGCGG